TTTCAAGCTTTTTAAGGAGTTGCCATGTGATTTTCCGTAGTGGTTGTACCATTCTACATTCCCATCAGCAGTGCATAAGAGTTCCAATCTCCCCGCAACCTCTCCAACTTTATTATTTTCTGTTTTTTTGATTAGTGCCAGAATTATCGGGGTGAGATGGTATCTCATTGTAGTTTTGATTTGCATTTCTCTAATGGCTAATGATCGCAAGCATTTCCTCATGTGTCTGTTAGCTGCCTGAATGTCTTCTTTGGTGAAGTGTCTGTTCATATCCTTTGTCCATTTTTAAATTGGATTACTTGTCTTTTTGTTGTTGCAGTGTTGAAGTATTTTGTAGATTTTAGAAATTAGACCCTTGTTGGATATATCATAGCCAAAACTTTTTCCCAGTCTGTAGGTTCTCTTTTTACTCTTTTGGTGAAGTCTTTTGATGAGAGTAAGTGTTTAATTTTTAGGAGCTCTCAGTTGTCAAGTTTATCTTCTGGTGCAATCTGGATAGATTTTATTTCTTTTTCTTGTCTTATGCTCTGACTAGGACTTCTAATAAAATATTGAATAGAAGTGATGAGAGCGAGCACCCTTGTCTTGTTTCTGATTTCAAGGGGAAAGCTTTCAGTATTTCTCCATTAAGTATAATGTTGACTGTTGGCTTTTCATATATGCCCTGAATCATAATGAGGAATTTCCCTTCTACTCCAGTCTTCTTTAGGGTTTTCATCAGAAAAGGTGTTGGATTTTATCAAATGCTTTTTCTGCATCCATAGAGATGATCATGTGGTTCTTTTCCTTTGTTGTATTGATGTAGTGTATTACATTAATTGATTTTGTAATGTTGAACCATCCCTGCATTCCTGGAATAAACCCACTTGGTCATGTTGTATGACTCTTTTAATATGATGTTGGGTTCTGTTTGGTAGTATTTTGTGGAGGATTTTTGCATCTATAGTCATAAGAGATATTGGCCTGTAGTTTTCTTCTCCTGTGGTGTCTTTGTCTGGTTTGGGTATCACATTATGTTTGCTTTATAGAATGAATTAAGGAGTATTCCTTCCTTCTCTATCTTTAGGAAGAGTTTAAACGGTATTGGTGTCAATTCTTCTCTAAATGTTTGGTAGAATTCCCCAGTGAAGCCATCTGGTCCCAGACCTTTATTTTTTGGTGTGAGGAGGAGGTTTTTGATCCCTGAATCCATCTCTTCACTTGCTATGGGTCTACTGAGACTTTCTATTTCCTCTTGAGTCAGTTTGGGTAGGTTGTGTGCATCTAAGAGTTTGTCCATTTCATCTAGATTATCCAGTTTGTTGCCATACAGTTGTTCATACTATTCTATCATAATTCTCTTTATTTCCATTGGGTCAGTTGTATTGTCCCCTCTTTCTTTTTTTATTTTGGTTATTTGCATTCTTTTCTTTGTCAGTCTGGCTAAAGATTTGTCAATTTTAATGATCTTTTTAAAGAACCAACTTCTGATTTTATTGATTCTCTCTATCGTTTTTTTCTGTTTTCAATTTTACTTATTTCTATTCTGGTCTTTGTTATTCCTTTCTTCAGTAAGTTTAGGCTTAGTTTGTTCTTCTCTTTCTAGTTCCTAAAGTTGTCAAATTAGGCTGTTAATCTTTCTTTTTTCATGTAGGCATTTATTGCTGTAAGTTTCCCTCTGAGTACTGCCTTTGCTGAATGCCATAAGTTTTGGTATGTTGTGCTTTCATTCTCATTTGACTCTAAGAAACTTGTGATTTCTTCCTTGACCCATTGGTAGTTTAATAGTTTAATTTCCATATTTTTGTGTATTTTCCATATTTCTTTCTGTTATTGATTTCTTGCTTCACTCCCTTGTGGTCAGAGAAGATACTTTGTATGATTTCAATCTTTTTAAATTTATCAAGATTTGCTTTGTGACCTAAAATGTGGTCTCTACTGGAGAATGATCCATGTGCACTGGAGTAGAATGTATATTTTGCTGTTGTCGAGTGGAGTGTTCTATATATATCTGTTAAGTCTAGTTGGTTTATAGTGTCATTCAGGTCCTCTGTTTCCTTGTTGATCTTTTTTCTAAATGTTCTGTTCAATATTGAAAGTGATGTATTGAAGCCTCCAACTATTATTGTAATAGTATCAATTTCTCCCTTCAATTGTATCAATGTTTGCTTTATACATTTAGGTGCCCCAGTGTTGGGTGCATATATATTTATGATAGTTAAATCTTCTTGATTAATTGACCCTTTTATCACTATATTATGTCCATCTTTATATATTTGGACAGATTTTGTCTTAAAGTCTACTTTGCCTGTATTAAGATTGCCACCCTGGCTCCCTTTTGGTTATTATTTGTATGAAATATTTTTTTTTCATTCTTTCACTTTCAACCTATTTGTGTCCTTGGGTTTAAAGTGTGTCTCTTGTAAACAGCATATAGTTGCATCATTTTTTTTTATATGCATTCTGCCACTCTGCCTTTTTATTGGAGCATTTAGTCCATTTACATTCACTGTAATTACTGCTAAGAAGTGACTTACTTCAGCCATTTTGTTATTTGTTTTTTGTGTGTCTTAAGCCTTCTTTGTCTTTGTCCTTGAGCACTGCTTGCTTTTGTGTTTTGTTGGTTTATTGTAGTGGTCCTTTTTGGTTCCCTTCTCCTTTCCTTTTATGTATGTTTTTAATATATTCTCTTAGCAGCTACTATGAATATTACTTTTAAGAGCTTGTACTTATAACATTCCAGGGAAAGTTGGTACCAACTTAACTTCAGTAACATACAGGAAATTCTGTATCTATGCCATTCCTCTATTCCCCTCTTTTGTTGTTGTTATCACTAATTACATCTTTTTATTTCATGTGTCCTGTGTCATAATTCTATCTTTGCCTTTTATATATTTGTTATTAAAAAACATGAAGGACAAAACATTTAGAATTATCAAGCATGAATACCTTATTACTAGGCCTTATACTTTCCATGCATTTCTCTTTATTAGGGAACTTTCTTTTTATGTGTAGCTTGAATTACTTTCTAGTGTGTTTTCCTTTCCATCTGCAGAACTCTCAGTATTTTTTGTAGGGCTGGTGTGGTAGATATCAACTCTCTCAGCTTCTGTTTGTCTGAAAATGTTTTAATTTCACCCTCATCCTTGAAGTATAGTTTTGATGGGTATAGTATTCTTGGCTGACAGTTCTTTTCATTCAGCACTTTAAATATATTATTCCATTGCCTTCTGGCCTCCAGTATTTCTGAGGAAAAATTGACACTTAATCTTATTGGAGATCCTTTGTATGTGACTGTTTGCTTCTTTCTCATTGCTTTCAGGATTCTCTCCTTATCTGTAATTTTTGAGAGCCTAACTGTTATGTGTCTTGGTATAGATCCCTTTGGGTTTATCTTGCTTGGGGCTCTTTGATGTCCTTCATCAGATTGGGGAAATTTTCTGTCATTATTTCTTCAGATGTTCTTCCTGTTCCTTTCTCTCTCTCATCTTCTTCTGGAATTCCCATGATGGGTATATTAGGTTTCTTCTTGTTTTCCCATAATCCCATTAAACTGTGTTCAGCCTTCTTGAGCCTCCATTCTTGTTGCTCTTCAGTGTCTGTAATTTCAACTATCCTATCCCCTAATTCTCTGATTCTTTTTTCTGCCTGATTAAGTCTTTTTGTAAGCCCTTCTATTGTGTTTCTCATTTCAGTTATTGTCCCTTTCAGTTGCAATATCTCTTTTTCTAGATTCTCATTTTGTTTTAGCATTGTTTTCCTTATTTCTTTTAGCACTTTGTCTATGTTTTCCCTTAGTTCTTTAATTATGTTTAATGTTATATTCTTCCATTTTTTCATTATTCAGTCATCCCTAGATGCACTTTCACTCCCTTTGTCATGTTCATTTGGATGGGCCATTATTTCTCTGTTCTTTGTTTGTCTTGTGATTTTTTGTTGGGGCTTTGAAATTTTTGAGGGTGTTAACTTTCTGTTTTTCCCAGTATTTGGTGTTTTTGCCTGCATGACTTTCTGCAAGAAACTCTTATGTGGGAAGAGCCTTCAGCCTTTGCTTACCATTTCCTCTCCCTGTATGTGATAATTGGGATTAATTGGGATTCAAAGTTCCAGATCTCGTTTTTTAACTTTCAGTCTCTCCCAAACATACCAGAGAACACACTCTGGCCAGTATGTCCACCAGCTGGCATTGCCACTCAGGTGAGATATCGTGTACTAATCAATCTGATCACCAAGGGGTGCAGTCCCCTCTCTCTGGTTATTACTCCCCTCCTTCTCTGATTTTGCAATCATGTTTTTAGTCAACAAACCTACACCCAGAGAGCCTTCTTCAGGGCTGAGTGTTGCCTCTAGTTTTGCCTGAAGTTTCCTTCCCTGCTCTGTGGGGGCTGATTATATCTGAGCTGGAATTCAAGGGTGCACAGGCAGATTTTCCTTTGTTTCAGGAAGAAGTAGGGCTAGCACTCCCCAGAAGGACCTCCAAGAGATCTGTCTTGTTTGTTTCAGAGCCCCAGTGGCCCTATGGTGGTTGGGGTATTGGTCTTCACTTAGGTGACCCACCTCCTGACTCCACTGTATGGAACCTTCTCTAGGAGTTCATATCAGTCCAGCAGCCAACAGTTACCAGTTGAGGGAGAGGTAGTCACACTCCAAATGGACCTCCAAGGAGGTCTGCCTTGTTGCTATCAGAGCCCACCCCATAGTATGTTGGCTGTGGGTGTAGCCTCCACTCAAGATGCCTGCTTCCCAGCACACAGCAGCAGCCTCAGTCAGCAGTGCTGACTGTAAGGGGGAGCAGATAGACACAAACTGATCCCCAGGAGGTCTTTCCTGTTGGTTTCATTTGCCTGAAAAATGAAACAAACATGTTTGCAGGCTTATTCTGGCACATGGACCCCAGTTTACGTGGCCCAAACAGTCTGCCACACAGCTTTGGGAATTGACTTTGCTTCCTGCCCTTTCCTGCCTTGGCCACTGCCAGTAGCCAAGTGACTTCTGGAGGACTGCTTGTTCCCATCCCCCAGATCTGTACCAGCCAGGACGTGGATGAGCTCCTAGCAGAAATCCAGAAGGCCCAGAGCCTGCTCCAACACATCCAAGCCCTGTGCCACAGCGGCCCCTATAAGGAGCTCGCCAGCACGATGAAGGAGGTAGGTCATGTGAGCATAGATTTTGGGACCCTCCCAAAGGCACTCAGCAGACCTGTCATGGGATACCCTCACTCCGTCCTGCTTTTCAACCTGTGTCTCAGAGGGCACAGCTGTAGAAGTATATCACTTCCTGAAAGTGAAATAGGCAAACCCCCTTCCAGCTGTACCCCATAGCTCTGAGTTGGATGGGGTTGGGTGGGCTTTTCATAGTGCCAGGAGGATCCTGATGGATTTTCTAACTGAAAAATTCATTTCAGAGAAAAACCAGCAGGCTCTAGTCACCCACTCCACCCTGTCACTGTCTCTTCTCCTTCCCCCCAATTTGGAGAGAAATTTTGAGATGAAAAACTCAACCACATGGAGCAGGCTGTCATAAAGATCATCTTTTACTATGCCAGCACCTTGTTTAGGGCAAACATCCTTGCTTGGTGACTTGGTTAATTTAACACTGGCAAGATAACTCAGCCAGCTTATGGACACAAACACCTTAAACGCTATATGCTGTTTAGACTGCACAGAAAACTTAACTATGGATAGAAGGGAACCAAGACTGGGTTTACAGGTTCATTGAGTGAAACATGAATGTGAGGGACCAGGCTTTTCTCTTTTTTTTTTTTGGCGTCCCTAGGTGGGCTCGAAAGGACTAGGCATTTTGACCTGTCTGGGTGTGGTGAAAGAAACACAGGACTGAGAGACAGTGATCTTAAATTTTAGTTCCAGCTCTTCTACTGATTATCTATAAATAATAATAAATATTAGGATTATAATTATAATAGTTCTCATTTATTAAGTGCTAATTATAAGGTAAGGAGCCCTGGTGGCACAGTGGTTAAGCGCTAGGCTGCTAACTGAAAGGTCAAACCCACGAGCTGCTCCTCAGGAGAAAGATGTGATAGTTAGCTTCTGTAAAGATTACAGCCTTGGAAACTGCATGGGGCAGTTCTATTCTATCCTACAGGATTGCTATGAGTTGGAATCAACTCGATGGCAATGGGTTTTTCATCATAAGATAGGCACAATGCTTAATCCTTTAATGCTTTTATCTTCACAGCAACAGTCTGAAGTAGGTATTTTATTATTCCCATTTTGAGGAAATTAAGAGATTAAATTACTTGCCTGAGATCACATAGATAGAAATAGATTGAGTTTGAATTGAACCCAGGTCTATCTGACACCAAAACCTTACCAGGAGTTTCCCAAATGAAGTGTATGTATTATTTGTGGTATGCAAGATGATTTTAGGTGGTACATGGATTAATGTATTTTTAAGATGTTATGTACTTATTTCATTCAAAACTAGTTCATTATACTAGCAATGTATCTTTTAAAAAATTCTTTAAGAACAAAAAGGGAGTGAATTTTAAAAATTAAATAAAAATAATGATTAAAAAACTTTAATGTTACATGCTTAATGTTCTTTTAAAAATGTTGAGTAAATGATAGTACAGTGGTACTCAGATATAGCAAAATTCATAAAGTTTGAGAATTGCTGCCCTTTGTTTTACTCATCTTTGACTTTATACACTAGCTATGTGATTTAACCTCTCAGAGCATTAGGTTTTTTGTTTTTGTTTTTGTTTGTTTTCATTCTGAAAGGGGGCTGGGCTAGATCAGGCCTCCCTAAATGATTTTCTGTAGGAACTAGTTTTTAGTTCTCTGAAGCATAGCATTTTGAACCCATCATCTGAGAGGGGCTATACGTCATCTTACAGTCTGTGGTGCTATCTCAGTGGGAAGGTAGGGTAGGGGAAAGGAGGATGGTAAATGAAGGAGGAAGGGAGTTGATGGGTACATCTCCTTCTTCCTCAGAACTTCCAGAAATCTCAGAAAAGAGGATGGGGAAGGTGGAACCGCCTTTAATTTATCAGATAATGTTTAAGGTGCTCACTTGGGGAGAATGTGTGTGTGTATGTGTGTGTGTGTGTGTGTGTGTGTGTGTGTGTGTGTGTTGGGGGGCAGCGTTGGGGAGCAAGGGGAGGTTGAGGACTTCCCAGCTGTAAAATATGATTATGCAATGAAGCTTTTTATTTAATTTAGATTTCCACAGAGATTGCAAAAGGGCCACTTACAAGTCTCTTGCCTAAACCCCCAAAACATGAGGGCCCCCTCACAATCGAGTTCCCAAACTTGGACAAGACTTCTGCAGAATGGCTAAAGATCAATGGCCTAAAAGGTAAATCCCCAAAGAGGGCAGAACCTAGGACACAGATGACTAACTAAAAGGCATGAAATCTTTGGGGCTTCATGAAGAGTGCCTCAAACCCCACTATTTTTGCAGCCAAGAAGTTAAGCCTGTATCAGGTTCTGGCACCCAACGCATTCTCTCCCGTGGAGGAATTTGTGCCTATTCTCCAGAAAACGGTATCATCAACCATCTATGAGGTAATTCAGAAAGGACATAGCGTTCTTTTCAGCCCTCTGCATGGCAGTTCCTTTGCAAAATTTCCTGTCGTCTTAAATGTTCAGGCAATAAGAGTCAGAAAGTGGAGACCAAGGAGTGTGGGGCCTGGCAGTCTGACGTGGGATGCAGGCTTTGTCAGTCAGAACCCTAGAACTCTCATCAAAGCTACTGTAACTACTGTTTTTCAAAGATCTGAAAACGTAGCTTGGGAGATGGGGCAAGAGGGAATATATCTGGTACCATGGTCACCTCCTTCATGAAGGTTTTCCTTCACCCCACTCAGAACAGACTCACTGTCTTTTGTGTCCCCACTGTACCTTGTAGATCTCCAGTAACATGTTAATATGCTTGTATTTTTACATGTCTAAATCCCCACTAGACTGTATGAGCCCTTTAAGAGAATCTCTTCTCCAACAGTGTATCCCCAACAATTGACAATTGTTAATTGACAGTCAAGAAGTCAATGAATATTTACTAGGTGGATGAGTGGGTGGGTAGATGGAAGGAAGGATAGAAAGAAGAATGAAAAGAAGGATGGATGAATACATGAATGGAAATACTGATGAATGAATGGAAAATAGGTAAATGGAGGGATATGTGGATAAAAGCATGAATCGATGGGAGTATGGAAGGAGAAATGAAAATGGATGACAGGAATGGAATAAAGGATAGATGAAAGGATGAAAGCAAAAATTAAACAAAGAGTGGAAGGATGGAGAAATGGAAGGAAGGAATAATAGGTGAATAGAAACAACTGTGGAAAGATGGGAGAATAAAAGGAAAGAGGGACGGAGTGAGGGATGTATAGTTCTTGCAATGGATGGATGAAAGACTACATGAATGGAGTGTTAGTTAGGGACATGGACATGATGGCTTGGTGAAAGATGAAAGAACAGGATGAACAAACTGGATTTTCAAACTGTCCATGAAGGCCTAGCTGGGTTCCAAACCTAAGAACCCATGGCCAGTATGTTTTCAGATCTCTGACACTGCTGTCTATTACCAAAACCCTCCAATTGTATCTTATAAGTAGGACTCGGATGTGCAAAAGAGCCTCCTGAGAAGGCAGCCTGGCTTGATGTCAGCATGGTTCATTCAGGGGACCGCTCTCCTGAAGGCCGTCTGCTGCTGAGGGGTGATCTGACTGCAGATGTGCTCAGAGTCCATTTCCCTCTTGTGCATCTGATCAGGAAGACAGTGTTTAAGTTAAACTTACAGTCCCTTCTCCATATCTGCTTCTGTTCATCTTCCCCTCCCTCTTGCCCATGTTGGAGTGCAGAAGGCAATGGTACAATTTGAGTGGCACGACGGGACAGTGAAGAACATTCACGTGGACCCACCCTTCCTCTATGAGTACCAGGTCAGTGAGAGACCCAGTCAGTCAAGATAAGGGTGTGGGGAGGAGGGTGGGAGGAAGACACCATGGGATGTGGAGACACCAAGTCATTGGCTGAAATCCCTCTTGTAAACAGAGCCAGTGTACCCTCCCCACAGGGACCTCTGGATATACCCTCCTCACTGGGCAGGGACCAGGACACCTCAAATACCTCTAATCTTTTGGGGCAAGATCTCCTTCCTCCCCACTTTGAGGCAATGGGATACTTTGACTCTACTCTTCCTGGTCTTGTGGCAGACTCTCCCATGATTTAGTAGAATGTTTATATTGCCTGGGTACCCATGGCTCTGACACACCATGCCAATTGGGGTCTACGCCCTTCCCTCACAGACCCCTTAATTGGCCTTCTTTGAGCAGTCACTCACTGTGTATGGCTCATGGGTTTGCAGAAACAGCTCAACAGAGCTATGCGGATGTATGAGAGGCGGATCGAGTGGCTCTCCTTGGCCAGCAGAAGAATCTGGGGCACTGTCTGCGAGAAAAGGTACCTCCCCCCAAGCAGTGCCCTTCCCTTCATGGGTCTGGTGTGTGAAACAGCACTTATCCACTCATGAATTCCCCGTCAGTAGCATCAGAAGCTATTGCTATCATTGTTAGCTGCCACTGAGTTGGCCCCAGACTTTAGCGACCCCACTTGCAACAGAAAGAAATGCTGCCCAGTCCTGCACCATCCCCATGATTTGTTGTAGATTGGACTGCTGTGTTCCATAGGGTTTTCATTGGCTGATTTTCAGAAGTAGATTGCCAGGCCTTTCTTCCTAGTCTGTCTTAGTCTAGAAGGTCTACTGAAACCTGTGGGCATTGGTGGTTCCGTGGTAGAGTTCTCACCTTCCACATGGGAGACCTGGATTTGATTTCCAACCAATACACCTCATGCACAGCGACCACCCTTCTGACAGTGGAGCCTTGCATGTTGCTATGATGCTGAACTGGTCTCGGTTAGGTTAGGGATCAGTAATCATTCAGCAGAACCCCTGGAAGAGAAAGAAGACACTACCATTATCATCAACAATAGTAATATCATCAATGTGTCACTCAGGATTCTTTCAGTTACAAAGTGACAGAAACTTAATGCAAATTGGCTTAAGCAAAACAAGGACTTTTGGTTCAGGTAACTGAAAATTCTAGAACAGATTTGACAGCTGTCTTCAGGAATGGCTGGATTCAGGGGTTCATGTATGTCAGGAGTCTATCCTTCATCTTTCAGCTCTATTTTCTTCTTTGATGATCTTATTTCCAGGCAAGCTTTGAGTATTGTTATAATTAGCTTATAATTAATTAACCAAGGATCAGAGAAGTTTGGTGACTTGCCTAAGGCCATACTGCTAGTTGGAGGTGGTACTTGAACCAAAGTCTTTTGACTCCAAACTCAGTGGATTTTCTTTTGCTGTCCATCTCTGTCTCAAAATGAGAATTGGTGGGGGATAGATGTTATATAAGATTTAAAGTAGTAAAAGAAGGGGGAGGCAAAATGGGGCTAGAGATCTTAAAATAGAGGAGAGAGGAAACAAAAAGATTCAGAATTTCCCAAGAGGCCTAGATACAAAGACTTCAACTTACAATAATACTGAGTGCTAGTACTTTGAAACACGAAAATCATCCCCTGCCCTTTAAATCATCTTCACCATCTGAGACTTTATTTTGTTACAGAACCTCCTGGAGGACAAGGTTCCATGATCCCTCCTCAGTCTACTGTTGTAAACCCCTCTGCTGTGAATCTGGCATGCCAAAATTCCCCTGGAAAAAAATTTAAATAGTCAAATGGAACAAAATAAACATTATCTGAGAGATTCGGTTCTCCTCGTAAAGCTTGTGTTTCTTTTTAGGGTGGTTATACTGCTTGATATCTCTGTGACCAATTCCATGTACATTATTCATATCCAACACTCCCTGCGACTGCTGCTTGAGGAGCAATTGTCCAACAAGGACTGCTTCAACATCATCGCGTAAGCGTCCACGGTGGGGAGGGGAGGTCATGTGTGTTGAGATACCATTGCTTCTGGCAGGTAGCTGGGAGACAGAAGCTAGGAGCATCCAGCATCCTAGGATGGCCACTGGTTTATCTGATTTGGATGGTCTTGGTTGGGGCATTGAATAATTAAATGGTTGTAGGAGGTCCCACTGGGGCGAAGGTGATAAGTGGCCCAAAACACACTGCTTGATCAGCCAGGATAAAGTAACCCAGTCCATTGCCCCCATTTGGCTTCCAAGCTGGTAAACACAAAAGAGAAAAAGAAGGGCTACCAGATATGCCCTAGCCTCAGTCCCAAGCTTGGTTCTAGCAAGCCACAAGATTTCAAACGTTTAGGATTCCAAATCTAAATTTTAATTATGTATATATATATATATAGCAATTCTAAATTTAAGTTATACACACACACGCTCACACACATGTGCACATTTTCTCTTCTGATTCATGTTTTCTTATTGTGGTAAATGTATATGTAACAAAATATTTGACATTTCAGCAATCTTCACATGTATAGTTTAGTGACATTAATTATGTCCATCGTGATTTTCAAGCATCACTCTTATCCATTCCCAAATTATACTACCACCCTTAACAAAAGCTCAGTGTCCCCTAAGCAATGACTCCCCTTTTCCCCCCTCCCTCCCACTCACCCTTGGTAACCTCTAGTAAACTTTAGACAAATCTCTATATACTTGCCTATTCTAGATATTTCATATAAGTGGGATCATATGATATTTGCCCTTTTTACACATTTTAATATATATGCATTTTATACCATTTTAACTAATTAGAGGAGAAAAAGAAAAGGAACCTACTTGAAGTGTACATTTTTACACAACTTCCCAGGACATGTTCTAAACCTATTAAGTCAGCAGTTAGATATTATTCTGTACCAGAGCCTAATCTTTTGCTAGTAAATCCTACAGAAAAATGCTTAAAGTTTTAGAGAATTTATCCATTCATTTATTTATCCATTCAACAAACTTTTGTTGAAAGCATGCCATATGCCAGTCACTGTGCTTGGCATTGGGGATACGGAAGTGAATATATACAACACCTGTCCTCAGGGAACTTATGGTCTGGTAGTGGGAGACAGGTATGTTAAAAAATAAGTGCTATTAAGTGTTTTCTGTAGAAATAGGAAGGAGGCTGGATCCGGAACAGTGAGGGATCAAAGGCAGAATCAGGCCATTCTGCCTGGGTGGAGTGAAGTCCGGGAAGCTTCATAGAGGAGGAGACCTTTTAGCTGAACCTTGACAAATAAATAAGAATTTGCCTAGCACGTGAGAATGATGGGGGTAATGGGAAGAAAGGACTTCCCAAGTACAGGAAACAACATGAGCAGAGGCACAGAGGTGTGAGGTACTACAGAAACTTTGGGGACCAGCAAGTAGTTCAGTATGGTTATCGAGCTGGGGACAGGGATGAGGAGAGATTGTGCATGACAAAAAAAAAAAAAAAAAAAAAAAAACAGATGATGGAGGATTTACGTATGCCATGCTCAGGATTTTCCTATACTATAGAACATATAGGCATTGAAGGATTTTAGGCAAGTTGATCATATGATCAGATTTGCATTTTCAAATACTCAGGTAACTATGTGAAGGATGAATTGAAGAAGTGTAATGCTGAAGGGAAGGACACCAGTTAGGGACTATTGCAAAAATCTGCACTCTGTTGACTGGGCATGAACCAAGGCAATGGGAATGGAAAGAAAGGGGTGTCTATGAGAGGTGTTGGGGAGTGAGAATCTACAGAGTATTGTCACTGTTTGACGATAGAGGACGAAGGAGTGGAGAAGAGATGAAGATGTCCTAGGTGGAGTAGATCTTTGGAGGGGAAGATGGTTTTAAACATGTAGAGCTTGAGATTCCTAGGGATTCTCAAGATGAGATGTCCTGCTGGGAGCTCCAGTGATGAATTCTAGGCAGAAAATATGGGTTTAAAAGCCATCAACGTTTTGGTTGTATGGTTGAAAACATGGGAGTGGATGAGTTGCACCTGTGGAGAGGTGGAAGAGGGACAGAAGACAACCAAAGACAACTTGGGAAGCATCAACATTTGGAGGGAGATCAGAAGAAGGGAACCACCAAAGGAACACAAGAAAGAAACAACCACAGAGGTAGGAGGAAAACCACCAGAGAATGATGTTAGGAAGTCAAGGGGAGGAAGGTTTTAGAAAGACTCAGACAGATCCTGCAGAAGCAAAAAAGGAATAGAGGAGTGAAAGAATCCATTGAATGTGGTGATAGAGGTCACTGATATGAAAACAATGAGATGTAATTTTTTTGCAATTCAGATTGGCAAATATTTGAAAGATCAATAATGCCCAGTGCTGGAGATGATGCGAGGAAAAGGGTTCTCTCAGAAACTGTTGGTGGGAGTGCAGTTTGGTATAGCTCTCTGTATGAAATTTACATGTACAATACAGTGACATTAATTACATTCATCATGCTGTGCAACCGTGACCATTATCTGTTTCCAAATTTTTCCATCACTTTTAATAGAAACTCATACCCCTTAAGCAGCAACACCCCCTTTTCTCCTCCCTTCCACCCTGGTAACCACTGATAAATTGTGGTCTCTATACATTTGCCTATTCTAGATATTTCATCCAAGTGGGATCATACAATATTCTTTTGTGACTGACTTATTTCAGTCAGCATAATGTTTTCAAGGTTTATCCATGTTGTAGCATATGTTGGGACTTCATTTCTCTTTCTGGCTGAGTAGTACAAGTTTCCCCGGATATCCGAAAGCAAAATGTTCCTATGAAACCTTCAGTAAGCCAAAATGGCATAAAGCGAAGAAGCAACTACCATTAATCTACATGGGAAATTTTTTCAGCATTCCTCAACCCAAAAAATAACCTACCACATCATACCAAATAACCCATAAAATCTTAAAATAATACTATCAAAGCTATGGTGATTTGATGCTGAGATGCCGACTGTAGTTCCCAGGGAAGGAGCTTGGCGACCCCACTCTCACTGCTCGGGGTGCGAGCTGCGTCTTTAATGGCTTGCCGCAAAATAAGCACTGAACACCGTTTCCCCTTTTCCCTTTTTATCCTAAAAGAAAAATTCTCCTCAGATTTCTTTTGGTTAGTGAAAACAAGTACTAATGTAGGTCTTTCCTAAAAGTGAAAGTGGCGTAAAGCAAACTTTCCAGAAGTTGGGGGGGGGGTACTTTTATTCCATTATATGTATATACCACGTTTTGTTTATCCATTCAGCTTTTTGTGGACATCTAGGTTGTTTCTACCTTTTGGCTACAACGAACATTGGTGTACAAGTATCTGTTTGCATTCCTGCTTTTAATTCTCTTGGGTATATACCTAGGAGTAGAATTGCTGGGTCATATGGTAATTCTATGTTTAACTATTTGAGGAAGGAGGAAGTTATTATTTTTTTATAATTTATTTTAATGTTTGTAGGAGGAAGTTATTTTTAAGTATGAAGAGGCTTAAACATGTAGAAAGGCACTGGGGAAGAGGGAAGTAGAGACAAATGGGAGTGTGTGTGTGTGTGTGTGTACATACAGGTATCTATGGGACAACACCTCAGAAGAGCTCGCCAATGATGAAGTCAAGAGCTCAGGTGGAAGAATTAGTCTTAAATCAGAGAGGAGACACCTTTCCTGATAAGAAGATAAATCTTCTTCTCAAGGATCTTAAATGCTGTCTTATAGGAAAAATAAGATATGCATATTAAAAAAAAAACAACTATAGTACAAATAGAAAGTGTGTTATGAGGGGAACCAGTGCTAGGAGAGCTTAATTAGGGTGGAATCACTGGCTTCTTGGGGGATGGGGAAGTTCACATGGAGAAGGGAGAGGGTACATGTTCCAGTCAGCAACGCAGCTGGGAAGCTTGCTAAAGCTGGTCCTCGCTGTGTCTCAGTTGGGAGCCCAGCTCTGTTCACACCTTGGCTATGCTGGGACATGCCATGAAGAGCAAGGAAATTCCGTGACTGGCCCAGGCCAGTGAGATCCTTCCATTTTGAGTGCGCAATCAGAATTTTGCCCCCGTAGAAGCCTGGGGAGCCCAAAGAGCAGGGCCACAGGGTAGACATGCCTCCTGCCTAAGAACAAGCCCTCTTTGCTTCTTTCAAAGGTTTGGAAGCACAATTGAAAGTTGGAGGCCTGAGATGGTTCCCGTGAGCCATGACAATTTGCAAAGTGCCTGGCGGTAGGTAACTGCTTGATGCTGTGCCCGAGGGCAGCCTTGGCCGGTATGATTTCCTCTATCCCTCTGTCGGCCAGGAAGTAGCTCGCTACAGAATGGGCAGAAGTCAGAAGACAACTGCTTTCCACTCTCTGCCCTCTCCCACACCACTGATCCACGTTAGCCCCCTCTCCCTGTGCGGCCTCATAGGTAGCCTTCTCCCTCGGCATCGTCTTCCTCTTCCTCCCCAGGTGGGCTCTGAGCCTTCGGTGCCGGGGCAGCAGGAACGTCCTCAGCGCCCTGCGGAAGGCTGTGGAAGTAGACTTCAAGGACAAAGACAAACACCAATCCCAAGGCATCTACCTCTTCACTGGGGGCATCCCTGACCAGGACATGGTGGGTAGGCAGGGTCCTGGGCCCTGTTATCCTTAGTGACTCCACATCTTCCCCCAGGTGGGAGCCCAGCAACTGGTTTCTCCAGCATGACTTTCTAAACCAGCACATCTCAAACTTTAATAACTCACCTGGAGATCTTGTTAAAATGCAGGTTCTGATTTAGTAGATCTGAGGCCAGGCCTGAGAGTCTGCATTTCTAACAAGTTCCCAGGGGATGTTGCTACTGCTGGTCCACAGACCACACTTACATAACAGCCAGGGTCTCTGGGCAGCATTCCGGACCACACCCTATTAGGTTGTTGAAATTGTGACCCAGGCTCATTCATCTCTATCTTCAGTGCTGCATACTAGTCTGGGCACACAGTAGGCCCTCAAGAAAGATTATGAGGCTGAACTGACCTGAGGCTACAGCTGTGGGTTTCTTCTGCTCTCTCCCGCCATAGTCCATGCTGAGTGCTTACATGGCTGAGGTCTGTGGGGGCTGTGACCTTCAGCTGAACGTGTGCCTCTTCTACGTGGGTGAGCCAGAGATGGACAGCACGCCTCCTGCCTGCTATGCCAGCTGCACTGACACAGCCAATGCCTACAGGGAGGCCACCCGGGCTGCTGGTGGTCGCTTCCACTGGTTTGGAGACACAGGTGCGTGTTAGCGGACCTTTCCATCTCTCTTTCCAGTCAACTGTCTTAGTACCAACATGCTCCCTCACGCAGTAGATGTATTCCAGAAAATCTGTATATGAAAATCACATTTAGACATGTTGTTGTTGTTAGCTATTGTCAAGTCGGCCACCGATTCATGGCGACCCCATGCTCAACGGAATGAAATGCTACCCGATCCTGCAGCATTTCCATTGGTTGTGCATTGTACTGTTGTGGTCCATAAGGTTTTCACTGGCTGGTTTTCAGAAGTAGATTCCCAGGCCTTTCTTCCTAGTCCATCTTAGTCTGGAAGCTCCACTGAAACCGGTTCAGCATCATAGCAACACATACCACTTTAAAATATTTTAGAATGTCAGAGCTGAAAGGGGCCCTAAAGATCCCCTAGTTTCCAAGAGAAAGAAGTAAAGTGCATCCAAATTGGTAAGGAAGAAGTTAAACTGTCCCTGTTTGTGGATGATATGATACTATACATAGAAAACCCTAAAGACTCCACGAGAAATCTACTGGAACTAATAGAAAGATTCAGCAGAGTAGCAGGATACAAGATAAACA